GTCATTCAAATACATAGGATGGTCGCGCTGCTTTCCCCCACGCCGACCACGCCCCCCAACTATGACGCGTTGCCGACTGTATCTATAACACCGATAAACTCCGCCTTTTACCTTGAGCACGCCTCTAGCCCGAGCTGGCCCCCTCTGGCCCAAGGTATTCGACGGGCCAGAAATCCTGGCCGTTGGCCCTGAGGAAGCCCCGATCAAACCCCGGAAGTGACAGTGGAAACGCGACTGGCCCTGGAACGCACTAGCACGGCCCGGCCCTGGCCCGGCAGTGGAAACGCGGCTAGTGTCACACGATCCTTCATAAATCATTCAAATATTCAGATTTCTTATTATTATTTGAAATAGAAATATTTTGTAACATTATTTAGTCACTTTTTATCAATTTAATGAATCCTTACTGAATAAAAGTATTAATTTCTGTAAAAAATTAAATGAATTTCTATAAAATAGATTATGTAATTATATTGTACTGATTGGTAAACATCTCGCTTTCTTTCAGACTCTCACAGAGGTCAGAGCCCTACAGTTTCCTGCTGCTTTTTGTAAGGCCAATGTTCTGGAAGTAAGTTTGTGTGCCTATACTTCTGGGTATTTTGCAATAGAGGTGGAGTGGGAGTGACCATACAATTGGGAAATCTGAAAGATGAACAACACTTCTAGTGCCCCCTATAGGAGCAAGGTTACAATTACAACATCAACATGTCCAGCCTAATGTTTGTTTTCATTCACACAGCAGCAGAACGCAGTCGTCAGACCTGTTTTAGCACACTAAATTTAGAATGTTAAATCAGTTGTATTTAAAGCGTACCACAATGCATGCACACGTGTTTAAAAGCAGCTTCATACAATGTTTTGTCTTAAAGGTGCTGAATGTAATGGTTTTGACTGTACTAAAGCATAAAAATGCCATATGTTTGCAGAGATATAGGAAATGTGCTCCGTTCATACACTTGTTCTCTGAAAAACAATTCTACAGCCAGTTATTCTACTTTGAAATGTTCGTTCGATGTCGGGATGTCTGTTTTGTTATGTGTGATCCTGCCACTGCCAATTTACCCTATAGAATTTTCGACACCCCAGTTTGGCACATAACAGGCAGCCATGGAAGCCAGCAAACGAACTGGGTCAGAGATACAGATTCTACCTGACCTAAAAAGCCTTGGCATCCGTCCATCTAAAAAAAGCTATAAGACCATAGGCATATTAAACACAGATAAATCAACTCATCAACTTAGTGTAAAGCCCAATTTATACTTGTGCGTATAGTTCCCTGACGTGCTTCTCTCCAAAAATTTAACAATGCGTCAATTCTATGCATACCGCAAGCGCTGTGATTGGTCTTCTAGAACCGCTCCCCAGCTTTCACATGCTCCCTCTGCATGTGTAATTGCACGTCAACACAGACAACGATGCAGAAGTATAAATGAAAACCAACGCGAACGCGTAGTCTATAGCGTAGAGGCTCCGGCGTAGCTCCGACGCAGAAGTACATTATAAATCAGCCTTAAGGCTCCTCACCTTCCATTGTCAAATGTACTCACTCCCGGTTGTGTGTCCTCAATTTTGTAACCCTTGTGAGCATTGAGTCAGAAAGACTGGTTTCCCCCACCCCTCCTTCTCAAATATTTGGAATGTTAACCACTAGCTGTCTATATTACATACTTGCATACATTTTTTGGCCCCACAGAGTGTTTGAAGACCCCTATAAAAAATGAACAGAACTATAAACATTATATAATTAATAAAAACTGGGAGTGTTGATATAGGTAAATTAAGACATTTCAAGAACTGTTTTTCAATAAAAAACAATAGTTTTTTCAATGTTTTTCTAGCATGCATATATGTAAGCAATAAGGTACTCGAGGCAAGTTCTGTATCGTGAATAAGTAACAGCTGAAGGGCGATGTAAGGCACGACGCGAAGGGGATTGCCTGCAACCCCTTCAGCCGTTACTTATTCATGATACAGCACTTGCCTCAAGTACCTTATTGCTTTTATAAAACGGTTGCCACACAATATTAAAGTAAAAAAACAACAACAATGTATTAGTGCAACTTTCTTGAAGTAAAATCACTAAAAGCCTTCCTTCCGCTAGAAAAAATAGTCCATGAGTGTGAACAGCAACACGTTCCAATGTGTAAAATGCATGAAAACTCAAATAAAAACAGAGATCAATAGAACCGTTGGGTGAAGCGGTCATAGCAGTGTTTTATCGTGAATAAAGCACAGCTCTTGACCAATCAGAATCAAGGATTCGAACTAACCGTTTTATAAATATGCGCATATATATATATATATATATATAACTTAATTTTTTATTGATATTATATTACTAATATATATATATATATATGTATCCAGTGGTCCCTTTTGTAGTGTGCCGAGGCCCCCTAGTGTAAGCTGTTGTCAATCAGTCACTTTATAAATGATATATTATTAGGATTTTTTCCACACACTAATATCATTGTATCTGTTTGTGTTTCAGGCACAGATGGTGCGCTGTATGCTGTCCCGAGTGCCCGCGGAACGCCCCGAGGCGTCAGAAATCACAGAGGCCCCTTTATTCCAGGAGTTGGAGATGCCCTGCAGAATCCGACCACGCACTCGAACGTACAGCGCGTCGTCTGCTGGACGGCCGTCAAGACAGATATCCTCATCAAACTAGAACTCCCACTCAAAGACACACATACTGTACCTCGTCTGCAGGATGACAAACACAACCAGTCACCACCTCTTGCAACGCACATTCAGATAAACCCAACAAAATCAAGATCATCATCTCATTAAGATCATTCCACAAACCTCGACAATTGGAATCACACACATCGTAAACATAAATGAAATTGCTGCCCACTGTGGTTTTTGTGCCAAGTGCGTTCAATAATTAAGAAAAAGGCCCCATTGCATTTCTTTCAACTCAGTCAACCAATCCCATGATTTCATGCGACAGATGCATTTTAACACACCCACGCACACACACACACACTAGAAGGAGAGTTGTTGTTTTTCCAGTGCTAACGAATGCTAATGAGTGACCAGCCTTCGGAAGCCGTTCACTCTGCATGTCTTAAACGGGAAGTTGTGTGACGGGTGCTTTCCTTTCCAAGCGGGAAATTGTACGAGTTCTTTTTCTCCTCTAATGTAAATAGGCTTAAAATACCAAGCAAGAGAGGCTTTGTGTGCTTTAAAGGTGCTCGTTCAAGACCGAACGCACAAGTTCAGAGGCATTATAGCCACTCGCTGATACAGTGTTAGTGGCTAATGTGCACATTACTTGATGAACATGAGTCTGCATATGAGTGGATGTGGAAATGTTCAAACTGCCTTTAAGCTGGACTTTGAGACACGAATGACATGTTAGTGATGGTCAGTATGAGACTTAGAATGGAGACTTTAAAAAAAATCATTCTGTAAAATACTTCATGTCAGTAGCACCCAGAAAGGTAGTTTACTGGGTCATTTTGAAAAAAAAAAAAATCTGAATAAGAAAGAAGTGCTTTGACTAATCACACAATAAGAAAGGATACAACTTCGACCAAAAATTCAGCACACACCCTTAATTGTAACATATCAGGTAATTACTGATTGTATGATTTTTCTTACCAATTTTGATTATTAGAGGGAGTGAGTTTTCTTTTGTATATGATGGATTTTTCTGTATAGTGACCACTTTTTATGACTTTTTTCAACTTCTATGGACGTTTTTCCTAAGAACTGTTGTCAAAGTTTGAGAGAATGGCGATAGTGGATTGTGGTGACGGATTGGATCTCTGGTTGCGTTGAAGAGCACCGGGTGCCTCTGCACCTTCAGGAGCAGCTTATGTATGTATGTGAATACTGGTGCGTTTCCTGAACAGGCCATATGCTGCAGAACGGATTTGAGATTATGACCTTTGACCCTTAAGCACGAGGACTGCGTCCTGTGATCCACGTCAGGGACCGCTTTGTGAACCCTTCACCTTTTAACATATATCTGTGAACCTGACCCAGTGAAGACAGCAAGGAGTGCTGATCCTGTTCAGATCACTGTGGCAAATCCTTCCAACAGATCTTTCCCCATCTAATAATTCTCCTCAGTCTTTGGATTAAATTCATTTTATTGATTGAACGTTTTATTGACGTTTCATTATTGTTAATTTAGCGTTTGGTTTTGGCCGTTTCAGTTTGTCCAATGTTCTTCAGATGTTTTTTTTCTTTTCTGTGACTGTTGAAATCCCGGTTTCATGCTCTTTAGCCGAGCCATGTCTCCTGCCGTTTATGTAAATATGTTTGTTTTTTATTTATGTCAACTATAAAAATCAATCCGTTGGATTGGTTGAGGTATAAATAAGGTATATGAATGCACTTCATCCAGTGGAGTGCGTTGAAATATTGTGACTTCTTACAAGTCAATAATGTAATAAACGTTCTATGATGTTTGTAAAAGTGTTTTGTTTGTTTTTTCTAAAAAAAAAAAAATCTAACATGAATATACACTAAGTTTTAGTTGCACTTTGCTATGATAGAATGCCTCTGAATTTAGTCCAGGTTTCAAGCTATAAATCTAAAACCATTGTTCTTAAATTGTTCTTAAACTTTCATAATACATGTGAATACCAAAAAGTGCCACAGGGGAACGCTGTTTAACTATATATATTTTTACAGACACATTTTATTTATTTATTTTTTTTTGTCTACACCAGAATTGTTGAAATGAACCTTATCACAAACAATTCGCATTTAATATAACTTAAGTGTTTTAGAAAGAGCTGTAGAGAATTATGCTTACTTTTTTATTTGATGTAGCAACCACGTATGATCCCACACAGAATAAACTCAATTCTACTGCATTATACTCACCTTTTATCATATTGCTTTATTTGTGTAATATTCCATATTATTTTAATTGTTCATATTTTTATTTTTTTATTTTTTTTTTGTTCTCTTGATCCAGTTGTCACAATTACTTTGTTAAACCCCGCGCTCCTTATCAATCAATGCGCACTTCCGCATGTCGTCAGTTCCGGGTGTCAATATGCGTCTAGGCACTGCAGCGATAAGCATCGGTAAAATGTGAACAAGAAAAAAAAGAGAAAAAATCAGCCTCCAAAGAAACCACGGCCAGCCGACAGCATCGACGATACTGCTATCCTTTGTCTCTCACCATCCGCTAGTCACTAGCAGCGGATTCGTCACCGTCTGTCAGCCGTTTCTGTGGGAATGGCCGCGGAGGTTCGGAGGGCCCTTGGCCGGGGCTGGTGTCTCTCACACGGCCTGCCTCGCTTAGGCCTTCACGGCACCGTTCTGCGATCTATTCTCATCATCACAGCCCTGAGCGGACTGGTACGTCTGCCCGCGGCCACGGAGGCGAAGGAGTGTGATAAGCCGTGCTTGAACGGCCAGTGTAACACTGCCAGCGGCGTGTGTGTATGCGAGCCGGGATGGGTCGGGGAGCAGTGCCAGCACTGCGGCGGCCGCTTCAGGTGAGACACAAACGGTTCTTATTCACAGTCGAATACGTGAAGTACAACCAAAACACTGTAACTTTTGTCAGGGACTAGTTCATCAATGAAATATTAACCAGCGTATCATGAAGGCTCATGTTAAGGAATTACGAAGATAAACAACCTGCGCTGTTTGGAATCTGATGCTCTTTACTGTCATTAGAAACTGCTTCATGGTGTTAAATGTAAGTCTAAATCAAGTCTTGAAGCCCTCAAAGGTTATAAATAAGCAGTGTGCAGTGGTGTTCTGACACTAGGCAAAGTCCTCACTGGTTTTTACGTTAATTTCTAATCCAATATAATTAGTTGTTACAGTTAGTACTTAACGTTACGGTTGTTGACACATTTTCCCAGGCTAAATAGCCTATATAAACATTGTTGTTTTTACCCTATCCAAAAATAGTTATTGAATTTTGTATGTTTATATGACACTTTACATTTGACATGAATGTTTTATTTACAACTCGACCGTTTTCTGTTAGGATCAGTATCGGATGATACTTTGACAAAACATAGTTATTGTTGTTATTTATCACTTAATTGCACACTTAAATGTTCCTAATGTCACAAAAGTTTTATTTTATTTTCATTATATAAGTGTTTTATATTGTCATTTATATGCAATCTATGTGAAAAAATTGAGCCAATAATATTAAAAGCCTAAAGTTAAATCTGCTCATCATGTGAAGTTATCGAGTCTCTTCAGAAAATTTGGACTAAACTGCTCTATTCAAATGGTTTACGATCTCTTTTTGAACTTTGTAGTTGTAGTTGTGTAGCTGTCAATGGAGGGTCCGAAATCCCTCAGGTTTAATCAAAAAGATCCTCATTTGTGTTTTGAAAATGACAAAAAGTCTTATGGCTTTGGAATGACATAATGTTCATTTTTGGTTGAACTAAATCCTTCAAAATGCTGACCCTCATGACAATCACTGAAAATTTTTCACCCAGTGGTCATCAATAATTGTTATTGTCAAAAATGTTTCAAGTCTCATTCTAGGTTTTAGTGGTTCAACTGTTTTCGTTAAAAACGTTTTTGTAACTTCTCAACATTGGCATAAACCTGACCAGATTAAACCTTCACTGATGAACAGTAGTATTATAAGGTTTCATTGGAATATGATGTTTGCCACATGCTGCTCCATCATGGGATGTGATTCACTGATGGGCAAAGTCTGGCAGAGACACTGGTTACATTGGAGGCTTTGGGTCATGCAGGGTGATTCTGGCTACAAATAACTGAGAAGAGACAGACAGACTGAAGCCAAATGATCATGTGGTGTCAATCACGAATCTTAACACAGACACGCTGGAGGCAGAGACCGTTTATTCTACCATTTCATCTCGGATCAGGAATGTTTCTGTCTTTTTAATAAGTCTATGGAACAGAGTGTAAATTTACTAGTAGCTCTGTTTTTCAATATAGATCCCTGCCAAGGACGTGTATTTTGGGTATATTGTGGGCACATAATCATAATAATAATCATCATTGTTTTGACTCTGGTCACAGGTTCGTTCTTAATCTGACTGATAATACTCAGTGTTGTTATTGCTAAACTTTTTGCTAAGTTTTTCAGTAATGAAAATAAAGCTAGAATGAAATTAAACTTAAAATACTTAATTGTTTTTCCGCAACTGACTGAAATAAACTGAAGTTACTAAATCTGAAGTAAAAGTAAAGTAAAATATAATTATAAAAAATAGGGCTGGGCAACAATTAATCGTGATTAATCGTATCCAAAATAAATGTTTGTGTTTTTATAATATGTGTGTATGTGTAGAATTATTTTGTATATATATATAAATACACACATGTATGTATATATTAAAGAAATATTTATATGTATATACTGTAAATATATTTATATTAAATATTAATACTTTTTATATTGATAACACATTTTTCTTGCATGTGTGTGAATTTATATATACAAAATAATTATACACAGTACACACACATATATTATGTAAACAAAAACTTGTTTAATCGTGATTCAAAAACGCGATTAATCGTTGCCCAGCCCGGAAATAGCACAACAAAATGACTCAAATTAAAATGAAAATTGGCCAAACAAGGAGTTGATCATGCTGTAGTGTCAGATCACCGGGCCATTGGCATTTTTTTAAGTGTTTTTGAATAAAACCGTATGATTACTTTCTTCTGATACTTTAGTTGAATCACTTATTATTGCCTCATTGTTATTATATATGTATTTTAAGTCATTTTTAAGGCTATTGTTCACTTTTTATCAGATTAATCACCAAAATAGACGGATTACTCGATTACCAAAATGAATGGTTGAGTATGACAGCCCTAGATTAGTTAAAACATTTCAAAATGCACCTGTATTGTTTTCTATTTTTGGACTTTCAGTCGTATAAAATTTTTTTTGCTATAGAACATTTCTTAAAAACAGTGTTAAGTGATCTCTGTTAAGTCTCACTCTCCTGAACCCAATATCGTGTATCGTCTCATGTGAGCTAAGTGTCTTGTCACACCCCTAATAAAACATAATTTCCCTACAATAAAATTGTGGCCAGTGATAATCCTGAGTGGCTTGCCCAGCATAAAAAGTTAATGTCAGGCTCTGTTGTATATGTCACAGTGACTTTAGATATGGAGAGTCTCTTGTATATGAGACGTGCTGTTTTCAGATGTCACCATGCTTAATGGTGATTCTAGTCCCATGGTAATACAATATATCTGGACATCATGTTCTTAAACATGTTTCATGTTTATTTTTGGAGGACCGTAATAATGAATGACAATCTCATCATAGTAGCCTATATTTCACAGTACCATAGTAATGCTACAATACTTTGGAGTAAGAAGAGTAGAGTGTGAAATTCAGTATGAAAGAGCCTACCGGGTTGTATTACAAACTGCATTTTTTCTTATATGAATGGATATCTATTATTATAATGTGTTCCCTGAGTCCTGACTGTGTTTGAAATCGCAAAAAGAGAGGATGCATATTCTGCATGAAAGGGTGATGTTGTATGCTGCATGCTGTCTAATTTGCTGGCCAATTCATAATTCCATAACACAATAATCAGCAACAGAATCTGCTTTACTAAATGGCCTCTTTTTAGTGGATCATTAGTTGAAGTACAGAAGCCTGACTGTTTCCTCCACACACCCGCCCCAAACACATGAAGCATCCATTCCTTTCCCAGAATGTCGCCCTGACCGGAGACGGCGTTTCTGCTAAACACCGTCTGATGGTGTGTTCTGTTAAACTACAGCATCAGCTTCACAGTCGATTGTGTGCCGCTCGCACTAAGTGCTCTGTCTCTTACACTTAGCAAGTCCAATTCTCAGTAGACCCAGGTTTGAAATCACTAATGGCTGACAGGCATTTCTAACATTCTCTCGGCTGTCTTCGATCATCATAAAGGCTGAATGGAGACTGACAGGAAAAAGCACAACAGCTCAATTATTCAGCTATTCGTTGCCCATTATCGAACGCCTGTGCTTTATTTGAAGAAATGCATGATTTTAATTGTCGATGATTCAAATGGGACGTTGTTGAATGATGATCTAATAGGCTGGGTGGAAGATTGCTGTGCGCCATAGAGAATCACGTCTCAGGGATGTGTGTTTGTCACAGCTGTCTGCTGGAGTGTGTATGTGCAGATCCCACAGGATTGTGGGTGTGTTAATGAACTGGGTTTGTTAATGTTAACAAAGCTCTTTGAGACTGTAGACAGGGGCTTCAGATAGCTTATCGCCACACTGACACACACACCTGGCTACATATCAGTAGGTTGTTCATATTAAGGTGTCGCAATGTACCAGTTTAGACTATATTCCTGACATTGATGTTATAGCTACACATTTCATAACATCATAGATAATAATCTGATTGACGCTCCAATATTGTAGGTGATGTTACTGCTCCTTAAAGGTAGTCACATTAGCACGTTTAATTTATACAGCTAATGTATGTACAATGTAGGAAGCACAGTAGTATGGGCGTGAGTGACTAGGGAAAATGTGTGGGAAAATCTCAAGCGCTCAAGCTAAATTCCAGAACATGCAAATTCTAATGGAAATGACTATTTCGGTCGTGAAAATTCGCTTTAAAAAGGTAAATGTGATTTAATGCTGGTTGAGAAGTTACCTGTCCCTTTAGGTGTGTATTAGTAGCTGTGTTCTGATTGGTGTAGTAATGTTTTTTGTGTGTGTGTGTGTGTGTCATACGCAGGCTAACAGGACCCTCTGGCTACCTCTCTGACGGAGCTGGAAACTACAAATACAAGACCAAGTGCACGTGGCTTATTGAGGGACAGTGAGTATTGGTCTAAAAAACAAACTCTTTCTCAGATTAGAGGTGGGATTGTTACATTTTAAAGCCTTTAACATTGATTACTTTGCTCTTTTTCCCCAAGACACCAATAATAGATTTGTTTATTTATATGGTAAAATAACAACCATTATATTGGTTTCTAAAGTGATTATTGTTTTTGGGTTTTGTTTTTCTGATATTGTTGGGCTGTTTTTTAAAATGGGGAAATCAGTTTGGATGTACTGCTGAGTAACCTGTAAAATAGCATTAAACACGCATTGGGATAAGATTGTGGATTGTGATCCTGCCTGAAAAAAAAAAAAAAAAAAATCCTACGATTTTCTGCCAAACAAATGTGAAATGATCATCATTTGGTAAATGTTAATATGCATTGTCATAATCATGCAATTGATTTAATTCAATTATTGTTTTATCCTATATCAAATAATAATGTTCAAATTATTTCAAATCATATGGTTATGGTGATCAAATCATAATGTTCATTTTTATTTATTAAAAACTTTAGTTTGAAGCCTTTATTTTGAAACAAACACTTTTGTTTGTTAGGTGCACTGCTAGAATGATGTCCCGATTCCTGCTATAAAAATATATAGAAGAAAAGGCAACATTGTAACAATTTAAATTCCTATTTTGGAGCAAAACAAACGATCTACATGTCTGAAAACGCCCTTAAACCGCTTGCTGGGTCCTGTCAGGTTTTGGTCATGTAGCTGACCTCTATATCAGATACTTAGTATTTATGTGTGTTATGGTGGTTGATGGTCGTCTTTTTTCTCGGCAGGCCAAACTCGATCCTGAGGCTTCGCTTTGAGCATTTTGCCACGGAGTGCAGTTGGGATCATCTGTACGTGTACGATGGAGACTCCATCTACTCTCCTTTACTCGCTGCCTTCAGGTATTCTCTTCATTTCTGTGTGTGTGCATGAGGTTTAAACAGGAGGAGTGAGATTTCCAGGTAATGACCTGTTAATCCAGGATTAGATTAGAATACAGGAGTGTTCCTGAAGGCTAGTGTACTTCCACCACATCAGACACTGGTTTTAAATGGTATGAATGACCCCTAAAATATACCTGAGGGCTTGTGGAAATTCCCTGATATATATCTCATCCATGATTGGTTATTCAACCAAAAGTGACTGGTAATAGGATACAGTTCATGGCGTTTGACTGGTAATGTGATCTTAACATGACAGCTACCGTTAGGAGAACCACCCTGTGAAATGGACTAACCTTTCATAAGTTTGTTTTTAAGAAAGTGATACTTTTATTCAGAAGTGAGAGTAAAAGCATTTATAATGTTACAAAAATTTTATTTTTTTAAATAAATGCTGTTCTTTTGAACTTTCAAGAATCCTAAAAAATGCATCACAAACAATGTTTTCAACATTGATAATAATAAGAAATGTTTCTCAAGCATCAGCATTTGTGACACATGATTTCTGAAGGATCATGTGACACCGAGGACTGGAGTAATGATGCTGCAAATTCAGCTTTGCCATCACAGGAGTAAATTAGTTTACAATATATTAATATAGAAACCAGTTATTTAATTTTTTTTACAGTTTTACTTGGTGATGATCAAAAGTGCTTTTTGTCAAGTGAGAGCAGATGAGCCTGCTAGTCCAAGGAAGTACTTGGATAGTCATTCAGAAGTGCTCACCAATATGCCAAAAGTTTGAACAATATTTGGCAGAATGTATACAAAAATCTTTAAAAATATTAAAAAAAAAGAAGAAAGCACACAGACCCTCTAATAGAGTACAATTAAATGAGGAAGTGATGAAATTATTGAATGTGTTGCGCTCCCTTCCAGAAGATGTATTACAGGTTCTGTGTTCTCTTTCATGTTCCAGCGGTTTGATTGTTCCTGAGAGCTACAGCAACGAGACCGTCCCAGAGGTGGTGGCACAGTCGGGCTTCACCCTGCTACACTTCTTCAGTGACGCTGCGTATAATCTCACTGGCTTCAACATCTCCTACAGGTAAGCTTTCATTCCTGGGCCGAAACAGGCTAATGCTCATAGTTCTGTTACAAAACCTAGTGAGCTGCTTGCTTAGACGGCGTCGAGTCGAGGAACGAGTAAATAAATGCTGGATTGAACTATTTATTCGTCAAAGAATGCTGGAAAAATGTATCGTGGTTCCCACAAAAACATTAACATGATTTCTAAAGGATCACGTGACACTAAATACTGGAGTAATAATACTGAAAATTCAGCTTACCTTACATATTAAAATAGAAAATTATTACAATAATAAAAATCTGTTTGAATAATATTATTTTACATTTTTATTCTAATAATTTATTTTTATTTTTTATTTTTTTTAAATTTCCGTCTTTGTGAGTGTAAGAAACTTCTTTCAAAAACATTTTAAAAGAATTGTACTGCAACGGTAGTGTACTTAAATACATTATTGTAGTTTACTCCAAATCAGTCAAGTTTCCATTCAGTTTAGAAGATGCCAGACATCTGCGTGTTTACGCAGTAAACTGGAAGGAAGCTTGTAAACATGCTTGTTACTCTGTGAAACTTAGGACTTTGAAACTTTAACCTTTATGGCTTAGTTACAAAGCTATACATAACCTATGAACACTGGGTTATTTAAAGCACCTCTATTATGCTTTTTGAATATGTTTACTATAGCTGTTTCAAAGATCAATGTGCGCTATAAATGGAGTTATTGTCTCCTAAATGAAAATGTACGATTCTGAACTGCCTGAAACGAGTCATCAAAAAATCCAGTCTTACTTTTTGCTCAAACCTATAACAAATTTGCATAATGCCAGCCTGTGGTCTTCATTGGCTGCCCGCAAACAACATCTACTTTAGCCCGCCCTTTAACACTAGAGTTGTAGCTGAGGCCTGGAAGAGTTTAGAGCAGGGCATGGTTTTGTTGTACATGGCTGTTGAAGAGCTCTGAGGATTCTGGGTAATGTGGATGTGTATTAAAGTGATAGTTCAACTAAAAAGGAACATTCTGTAATGATTTACTCTCTTGCATGTCATTCCAAATGTGTGTGACTTCCTTTTTTATGTGAAACACAATGCTTCTGGCCAAATATCAGATATGCCTCATTAAAATCAAGTCAAGTTTGGTTTATTGTCATTTCAGCCACTTTGATACAGTGAAAATGCAACTTCATCTGTTCCGCATAACAAATCACAGGCAGGTCAAGGTCACAGACAAAGTGTTCTGCTCTATACACTGTGAAAGGGCTATTCAATTAAAGTTACAAGAGGTTCCTTCCCAGCAGAGGTCCGGACAATACTTTTTTGGAACAGTTATACATTTCCATCGAGGCAGCCGTAGTACTTTGTCAAAGAAAAAATCCTGAACACTCAAAATAGCCATCAAAGATTAAAAAGATTTTGGGCCCAGGTAGCCAAAGCAGTGTGCCTAAGAATTTTTTATAATATTTGCCAAAAAAAAGTAAATATATTCATACCAATATGAATATAAAAAGTTAGATCAGATTTTTATGTATTTATTTATTTATTACATTTACCAGGTGCATAAAAGGCCTTTTATATTTTGCTCAAAGTAATAAACTACTAAAAACAAACAACCTACATAATTTAAGAAGCAAATTTAAAAAACACTGCACTATACGATACATACAGTGAGATAAGTTTGTTTTTTCAAGTCTCCTATGCTAACCAATGCTGCAATATTTTAAAAAAAACAAGGTAATATCATGAAATATTACAATGAAGGTTTTCTATTTTAATATATTTTACAATATAATTTATTTGTGTGATGGTCAGTGATGCAGTCTTGCTTCCCCCATAATCGATCTTGATATCTCAAGTTTAAATATGTGAAAATGCAAATGACCTACTCAATTTCTGCTGCTTTTGAGTTCCTTGGCGGGGAAAAAGCCATGCGGATTTGGAAGGACGTAAGAGTGTCATGATGACCAATTTTTGGCTGAACTGTCCCTGTAAGGCTCTGTACGCTAGAGAACAAGGGCTAGAACAAGAAAATGCAGGTCGGAGTAATTTAAGAAGAGCGGGAAAGAAGCAGCGCAGATGTCTTTGACCTCTGTGTCTGTCAGGAACTGCTCATGTTGAAGCCCTGACGGCGACTGCGGCAGTTTCTATAGCGACTGCATTCACGGGGACCCAAAAAAAAAAAACACTGGCGGTGCAGCATCAATAGAACATCAAACACCAATCCTGACACACACTGCAGACACTCACAAAAACATGTAAAGCTGAGAGACAGATGCTAGACTGCCTTTGATTCTCTGCTGTCCCTCTTTTCCCCATGTTCAGCTTTCGAAGAGAGTGAGCTGCCTACTAATGCGCCTGTTTTTACACACTTCACTTCAGGTTCAATTCGAATATCTTCTCCTTCGACGCAGCTGTTTATATGATTGGATGCTTCGAAAGCAATCATTAACTTGAGATGTTAGAATATTTACCAAAAGTATTGTGTAAGCTTATTTGCCTTGCTGTTGTAAATGCTTTATGGATCCTGTGACACGGCTGTTTTGCTCTGCGTGTGTGTCGCTGAATTAGTGTATATTGCAGCTTTTCTAAATCAAGATGTTTTTACTGTAGACTAAACGTCCACTGTATTGCCAGACACTGCTGTATGGGAAATAGCCGGACGATATTAGCAAGAGCTAATGTCTACTGAGTACAATGTCTAACTTTGCACTGGAAAAGGTATGCCTAAGCAAACAGTGTAACAATAGGCTTACATAAGATGTGTTTGGTGCGAGACAATCATTAAACTGAAATCATTGTGGTGAATGAGTTAAAAAATAGTGTTATATGACATATGTATTCCTGTATTGGAAATTTAAAGCTTCAAATATTTTATATCATATATATATATATATATATATATATATATAGCAGTTTTATATCATCATATATCATCATTATATAGCAGTTTTATATCATCAAAAAAAACTCAAATCAATTATGAATCATAATTCATAACTAAAAAAAAGTAAATTAGAAATGTTTTTTATGAAATATTTACTTAAATTATATTTCAGTTTAATTGTATTTCAGCAATTCCCTGTTAATGTAAACAATAGGGCTGCAAGATAAATCAGAATATCGTAGGTAAAAATGACAATTATACATATCGCAAGGGCTTGCAAAATTGAAGTGATTTTAATACTTCAAAAATTGTCAGTTTTAGGTTGAGACAAATAGCAGAGAATAAACTGACGATTTAGTTCCTAAAGAACATGAAAACATGACTAGCTGTGTTTTTTCACGCATCTAGTTTTGGGATATTGCCTAAAAAATGGGATGTGATTGGATAACTGGACTAACCAGCGGACCAATTTCATGGCACAGCATCTCAAATGTTGGTTTGGTCGTTCAGAAATGCCTTAGTCATAGTATGTTATCAGAATGATTTGGAATAATGATCTCTCTGAAGTGTCTCAGCAGATTGCGTTCCCAAACGCAAGATAATATGAGAGCGTTTATTGTGTTTTGTCTGCGCACTGGTGATTTATGATGGGGGGGAAAAAAAGCCATAGTGGCTTCCCTGATTGCAGAAACCTCCATTTTTTTTCCCAGGTAGTGATGATTTTGTTCTCTTTAAACACATGGGATGGAAAGTATGCTGTATTCGCAAGTGTTTTATGCAATATTCCAATTTTGTGCACAAGTTAAATTTGCAACTTTAATGGTGTGCAGCCCTAGTTAACCATGACAGAACTGTTCTCTCTGCGGCTGTATCAAAACATTACTTTTTTGAGCAGTCTGGAATGTCAACTGTCTTGATCAATCACATGAGTTTGGGCTACCTGTAATAAGCCTTCAGCAGGAAGTTGACTAGGTTGTCCAAACAATGCTACATCTACACCGATATGACATTTCCCATTGCATTGATTTTTCTGTCTTTCTGACCCAGGGTGAACACATGCCCCAATAACTGCTCTGGCCGTGGGGAGTGTCGTGTGGGGAATTCCAGTGAGTCGGTGCAGTGTGTATGTGAGGATGGCTGGAAAGGACCGGCCTGTGATGTGCCCTACTGCTCGTCTGACTGTGGCTTCCCTCTCCGGGGACAGTGTGAAACCAGTGCCAAACGATGCCAATGCAAACCAGGGTGGCAAGGTAAGCCCTAGCTTGTGTAGAAACAGAGCATAATGACCATAAGCTACTTAAAGGGTTAGTTCACCCAAAAATGAAAATTAAGTCATTAATTACTCACCCCCATGCTGTACCAACCCCGTAAGACCTTCGTTCGTCTTCGGAACACAAATGAAGATATTTTTGATTAAATTTGAGAGCTGTATAACTACCACATTGGCTCCTAAGGGACTGCCTCTTGACGGCCCAGAAAGTCAATGAAGAAAATGTTTAAATATCCCAAGTGACTACCGTGGCTCAACTATATGTTTATCAAGCGACGCGAATACTTTTTGTGCGAAAAAACAAACAAAAATAACGAGTTTTTTCGACTATTTCTTTTCTTCCTTGTAGGCCAGAACGAGACTTCCTTAGATTTCCACGACGCATGCGCGAGAATTGCGATCTGCTTACACCAGCTTACACTACTTCAGATCGCAATTCTCGCGCATGCGTCGTGGAAATCTAAGGAAATCTCGTTTCTGGCCTACAAGGAAGAAAAGAAATAGTCGAAAAAACTCGTTATTTTTGTTTGTTTTTTCGCACAAAAAGTATTCGCGTCGCTTGATAAACATATAGTTGAGCCACGGTAGTCACTTGGGATATTTAAACATTTTCTTCATTGACTTTCTGGGCCGTCAAGAGGCAGTCCCTTAGGCAGCCAATGTGGTAGTTATACAGCTCTCAAATTTAATCAAAAATATCTTCATTTGTGTTCCGAAGACGAACGAAGGTCTTACGGGATTGGTACAGCATGGGGGTGAGTAATTAATGACTTAATTTTAATTTTTGGGTGAACTAACCCTTTAACTGTTGGGTTTTACCGTTTTCGAATCCATTCAGACGATTTTCGGATATTTAGAAGAATATCAGTTACCAGACAGATTCTGGTCTCATTGACTTCAGACCAGAAACTGTCTGGTTACTGATATTCTTCTAAATATCAGAAAAGCGACTGAATGGATTCGAAAACGGTAAAACTCAACTGTTTAACTCGGAGGGAGTTGTAAAATAAGACCTATTTCCCCCCAAAAAAAAAAAAAGTGGAGTATTCCTTTAAGGAATCCGTTCATCATCGGTAGTTTTGTTTGTAAAAGTTTTGTAATTCGTTCACAGTTCTTGGAATGCGTTGGTCCCTTTTGGTTTCCCTAATAGTTTCCTGCCTCTCTTCCCCTCCGCCTCTCACAGTTCGGACTACATATCTTTGTCTCAATCTCTCCACCTCTAGTTTTGTTTGGGTTTGCTTGAAAGACTGTACCCTATGTACTGAGACTGTTTGTCCTAGGGCTCTGTTTTGGTAAAAATACTGATGTTCTAATACTTGGCTTATTCTAGGGCTGTGATTTACTCGTATGAATCAGAAATGCTGATGATATAAACACTGAGTGAAAAGATTATTGGTCATTTCCAGTGATGCACCGATGTGAAAATTGTGGCCGATACGATAACCAATATTAATATTGCTTTTATGACCGTTACCGATATTTACCGATGTCGATATCTCTGTATAGAAAACACACTTAGCGAGGATTAGGGCTGCACGATGTTGATAAAAAATTACATTGCAACATTTTATTTTTCTGCGATATAAAAACAATTTCACCAGATGACTTGAGTAGCTCTTGGAAAGAATGAATCATTCCACAATGACTGGGGTGTTTTTTTCATGGAGTAAATGATGACCGGATTGTTGACGGGGCGTGTAGTTTTCAGGGTCTCTCCCTCTCTGCCGTGCTCTCTCACCTTCACTTTCTCCTCAGAATCATGACGTAGATCCACTGCTACATCAATAAGTAGAGAAGCACTTTGATTACGATTACCATTCTTTATATATTACATCACAAGTCTGAGGTTTCATAATTGTGAGTTTCCAACTTGTAATCATGAGGTTGACGAAGACATGAACTTTTTTGTTGTTGTAATTATGTTAAATATGACTTGGAGCCACTGAACCTCAGTCTTAGGTAGAGCACTGCTGCCTGCTGAGCCATGTGTGGGTATCTGAGCTCTTTCTGTCTCTTCCTCTTTCTCTCCCGTCAGAGGCGCAGATATGTGGAAGTGTTTAATTGCCCATCTGTGAACAACAGGTTGAGCCACACTCAGGGCTGACTCATATTTTAAGTTCCTCCCTGGTTTCCTGTCATTTTATACATTTTCAAGCACACAGCCCTCTTGCATATCTTCTGTTTTAGTGGTTTATATTTGTGTAAATTTAGTCAATTAGCCATGTTTTTTTTTTTAAGAACATAAAATTAAAGTTGTCTTTCACTGCTTGATTACTATTGTACATTTCGTGTTTGTTTTGCATAATGTTCCATTCAAAGGAAAAACTGCATGTGTAATAATAATTAATGAGTTGTTTGGCAAAGTATCAGCTTGGAATGAGGAATAAAGTGAATATTCACATTAGTTTAAAAGTTTCTCACACCGATTGCAGTTAATTGATAAAAAAAATAGAGGAAAAACAGTAAGTTAGTCAACAGTAATACAAGCTTATTTGTTCTAGGAATAATATTAAATAACATTCTTATATATCTATATATGAAAATCCAGATATGGTCTTTTTATGGTCTTTTGATCACAAATTACTGGTCTGGAAGTTAGCAAGAGTTCCAGAAATACTGTTGTTCCACTCAATGTTGATGGATTTAAATGGTTCACGAGTAGTTGAAAAATGTCTCCCAGTTTGTTTGAGTTAAAGTCCCCGTGAAATCAAAATTGAACCTATTTACTTTGTTAGCGCATATTACTAGTCTTGTGGTGAACAATTAATCCGTGCAAGTGAATATATATTAAAAAAATGTTTTACCTTAGTAATCTTTAATCAAAATCTGAAAAGTTACTTCCGGTCTGGAACGGTTTCTTTTTCTGATGACGTAGGTTTCACAGTTTGGGTGGGGAAACGCGTAACCACTCCCCTCAAACCGTTAGTTTGCTATGAGCGAGAGATGGAGAGGAGGAGCGCTAGAGTAAAACCCTGCCCTCTGTTCAATATTCCGTTTCACTTGGAAATACGTCACAGCACTGGAGAAAAATCGTTTGCAACTTCCGGTTCACGGGGACTTTAATGTGAGACCAAATATTCACTATAGGGTTCAAATCTGGACCAAAACATGACTTGTTCTCAAGCCACTTCTTGGTTGTTGGAATTTGGGCTGGAGCATTGTTTAGTTGAAAAATAACATCTGATATTCTTCTTTTTAGAACAACATTTCATTTGTGGGGAGCAAGCAATTCTGCAATATTCTTGTGTAATGATGCATCATTATATCGCGCTATTAAATTGTGGCGATATGTATCGTTGATGTAAACTGATTAGCAACTTAGTTTTATACAAGGCTTAGCTTACTGAATTTATAAGGAATACTTCAGAAATCATTCTAATGTTCCAAACTGTTGTGCTGCTTAATATTTGTGGAAACCATTATGCATTTTTGTCAGTATTCTATGGAAGCTTGTTTCCGCCATAGAATGAAAAATATAAAAGGTAATTGCGACTTTTTATCTCACAATTCTGACTTTTTTTTTCTCACAATTGCGAGTTTACTTCTCGCAATTCTGACATTATTTCTCAGAATTGCAAGATGTAAAGTCAAAATTGCGTGATATAAAGTCGGAATTGTGATATATAAAGTCGGAATTGCGAGATATAAAGTCAGAATTGCGAGTTATAAAGTCAGATTTGCGTGATATAAAGTCAGAATTGCGAGATATAAAGTCGCACTTCTGTATTTTTTTTCTCAGAATTGCGACTTTATATCACCCAATTCTGACTTTATATCACGCAAATCTGACTTTATAACATGCAATTCTGACTTTAGATCACGCAATTCTGACTTTATATCACGCAATTCTGACTTTATAACACGCAATTCTGACTTTATATCACGCAATTCTGACTTTATATCATGCAGTTTTGACTTTATATCTCGCAATTCTGACTTTATATCTGCAATTCTGACTTTATATCTCGCAATTCTGACTTTATATCACGCAATTCTGACTTTATATCACCCAATTCTGACTTTATATCTCGCAATTCTGACTTTATATCACGCAATTCTGACTTTAGATCACGCAATTCTGACTTTATATCACGCAATTCTGACTTTATATCTCGCAATTCTGACTTTATATCACGCAATTCTGACTTTATATCACGCAATTCTGACTTTATATCTCGCAATTCTGACTTTATATCTCGCAATTCTGACTTTATATCTCGCAATTCTGACTTTATATCACGCAATTCTGACTTTATATCTCGCAATTCTGACTTTATATCACGCAATTCTGACTTTATATCTCGCAATTCTGACTTTATATCGCCAATTCTGACTTTATATCTCGCAATTCTGACTTTATATCACGCAATTCTGACTTTATATCTCGCAATTCTGACTTTATATCTCGCAATTCTGACTTTATATCTCGCAATTCTGACTTTATATCACGCAATTCTGACTTTATATCTCGCAATTCTGACTATATCACCCAATTCTGACTTTATATCTCGCAATTCTGACTTTATATCACGCAATTCTGACTTTATATCTCGCAATTCTGACTTTATATCACGAAATTCTGACTTTAAATCTCACAATTCTGACTTTATAACAGGCAATTGTGACTTTATATCACGCAGTTCTGACTTTATATCTCGCAATTCTGAGAAATAAAGTCAGAATTGCGAGATATAAAATCGCAATTGTGAGAAAAAAAGCCAGAATTGTGATATAAAAAGTCACAATTATTTATTTTATTTTTATATTCAGTGGTGGAAACAGGCTTCCATAGTATTCTTTGATGAATGGCGAGTAAAAAAACGTTCACTTATTTTAAATAGGAATATTGTGTCACATTTACTTTCAACTGTCACTTTTCATCAATATATAGAATATTTGTAGCTTACCTTGCCCTAGTAACAGTCAGAATGTGTGTATTTTAGGTCTGGACTGTTCAATAACTGTACCAGGAAACGTTTCGTTCTGGATGCGCGAGGAATACAGCAGCCATGGCTTGGCGCGGGCGTCCCATAAGGCTGTGGTTTATGAAGATGTGATGTGGGTGATAGGTGGACATGTGTTTAACTACACACACTACCAGATGGTGACTGCGTGAGTACACGCACACACAAACAGACACATCATAGGATAAAAACTTCGCTGGCTCTGGGTTTCACTTTCTCCTTTACTCTGGCTCAGGTTCAACATCTCTTCTCAAAGCTGGATGTCGCTAAACCGGTCCGTCAACTCTGTAACTGGACGCTACGGTCATTCTCTCTCCCTTCATGAGGTTTGTTAATGGATGAGATGATGTTTAATAGTGTTCTTCTACTCTAAAGTCTTCATTATAATGTCTTGACGAGGCCAAAAGGATTATTAATTGACTTCCAGGCCTATTTAAAGATCGTTTTAATGCTTTCATCTTCTAGTTTTAGATTATTCCTTCCGTATACAGACAGTGTGTTGCATGTTTTTTCATGTGCAAGCCTGCTGTATTTATACTCAACACACATTGAACTGAGATCTCTTAAGTTATTTGTCTTTGTGTGTTTGCATACAGGATAAAATCTACATGTACGGTGGGAAGATTGACTCCACAGGAAACGTGACATCAGAACTCTGGGTGTTTCACACGCGGAACCAGTCGTGGGTTTTGCTAAATCCGCGTGCTAAAGAACAGTATGCAGTCGTGGGCCACTCGGCGCACACCGTCCAGCTCGGTCCCGATGGATCGGAGCCCGTCATACTGGTCGTCTTCGGACACTGCCCTCTTTATGGATACATCAGCCAAGTGCAGCAGTACGACATTGGTCAGTAGCATGCAGTAGTGATGTCAGGGAGTTACATTGAATATTTACATTATTATTGTGATAATTTTGCGATAGATAGATAGATAGATAGATAGATAGATAGATAGATAGATACATAGATAGATTGATAGATGGATAGATTTTACATTTTCTCAGAATCTTGCATCATGCACATTTTTAGATGGCATGTAAAAAATCCCTTCTTTTTGAAAACACAAAAAAAGTACCTTTTAAAAACAGGCCCCAGGACACCTGTGTTCTGTTGCATGAAAGGAAGGATTCATCATCCCATGTAAAAGCACCACAATCCTTTTCAGAATATTGAGTGCTGTCCTGGACTGAAAGTCACAGTGAACAGTTGTGACCCAGTTTATGTCTGAGGAATCAGACCGCTTGGAGACAGACTCTTTCATTCATCACAAAATTAAAATAAGGCCCTTTTTTAAAATTGTTTTTCAATTTGTTTGAAATGGTTTGCAGTTGGAAAAGAAATCATTATCGATTTGTGGAAGGGAGACTGGGGCAAGTTTTCACATTTTTGGTTTATATAACAGTGAATGGATGCCAGTGTGGTTTGAAATTAACATTAAAAGCTGCTGCTAGGGAAAACTATCTTTTATTCAATTGTGCTTTTGACTGAAAACATTATAAATACTTGTGTGGTCCTTCCTCAAGTGACAGTTATCCTAGTCCTGGCCTGTTAGCAGTAATTGTGTTATGGACTCTACTGCCCTCTGGTGTTGTAATGAAAGAGCAGCATCAAAAAATATTTCTTAGGAACCAATTTTTGCTTTTCTTCCTTCACTAACTCTCATACTTTACACTGTTCCCTTTGCAGTAAAGAATACATGGAGTGTTTTAGAGACTCGTGGGGCGCTGGTTCAGGGCGGCTATGGACACAGCAGTGTGTACGACCCTCAAACACACTCCATCTACATCCATGGAGGATACAAGGCTTTCAGCGCCAATAAATATGGCCTGGCTGGAGACCTGTACCGCTATGATGTGGACAAGAAAATGTGGTGCGTTGAGTGGCATTACACCTTTTAGTTTAACACTTTGACTTCAATCGTGATCATTTTAAGGCTACGCTTAATATTATGAAAAAGAAAAAATAGAACACTTACAATTAAATTAAATAATATTATCGCAAAATATTACCTCATTGAAATATTATTGATATACTGTGCTGATTCAGCACACTAGAAATTGAATACACTACTTTTCAGATGTTTGAGATAAGATTAAAAAAAGTTTTTTTTGTTTCTTCAGCAAAGGTGTATTAGATTAATCAAGTGACATTAAAGACAGTTAGAAAAATGTTTCTATTTCAAATAAATACTGCTCTTTTGAACGTTGTATTCATTAAAGAACTTTTTTAGTGAGATTTTACCAGAAATGATTGTTGAATTTTGACCATATGTTAATGAAAAACATATTGTATAATATTAACTGCTGTGTTTTTGTACTTATGCAACTCTTGTATTTTTGACGATAGCCTCATATGCTGACACGGCATTACAAAGCTAGATTACTACCATTCATAAAAGAAAAAAAAAACTGCATCATGGTTTTGACAAAAAATGTTGATGATAATAAGAAATGATTCTTGAGCTGCAAATCAGCATTTTAGAATGAATACGGCTTACGTTTTATAATATGTTTAAATAAAAAAGGTATCAACCTCAATTTTTGAAAGGTAGTGTACATTTATACAGAAAACTTGCACATGACACAGTATACATGATCTACAAATAGTGTGTAGTATGCTAGTGTGCTGTTCTGAACATAGTCTGACTTTCTTCTGTTGCTTTCTCCACTGATGGTGTTGCTTATTGACCGGCAGGTTTATTCTGAGGGACAGTGGTTTTTTCCGTTACCTCCACACATCGGTGATCGTTGGCGGGAACATATTGGTGTTTGGAGGGAACACACACAATGACACTTCAATGAGCCATGGTGCGAAGTGCTTCTCCTCAGATTTTATAGCATACAACCTGGGTGAGTACAAAACAGTCCTGAATATTTAAATCACACATCTCCTGTACTTCTGTGTAGCATTTTTGCACATTCTCGTCAGCTACATCGGTACATCACAATTGTGTATTGCCCCCTTGTGGGCTCCTCTATCTCAAAATACACTTTGCGCATGAGCTGTTGTACTCGCAATCCCAATGACGAAAATTACGCCACGGCGACTGTGCGCATGACCGTCCCAGAACACAGACAGCCGAAGTATACTTTGAGCTTTATCCGATCAGAGTTGGGAGTATGTTTTACTCTTGAGTTTTGAAGATAATGTGACTGTAAAGTGCCAACTCGAATGTTTGCTACAAAATTCAAAAGTCTGATTTTGCATGCAGTGTGTCAAAATGTGTAAAAGCCAACATGCTGGCTGAATGAAAACGCAAGTTTACTTTGTGACAGGAGGTGGCACTTTTAGACCTGAAGGAATAGCCCTGCCAACCTGGTACACAATTTGGTTTGCAACTTTGTTTGACACCTGCTTGTCACAGAGAAGAAAGGAAGTCAAACAATCTCTCTCAAACTGATTATGTTTGTGTTTGCAATACCAAATTAAAGCGTACAGAAACGAGCCATTTCTGGATTTTTATTTTTGCTTTCGTTTACGAACGCTTGGTTTTATAGATGGTGCACAAGCGGCACCAAGTTTAATGGACCAGAAGCGGATCTTGGCAAAATCGCTACCGAAGTGACCAAAAGCTCAAATCTTATTGGCTGTTTAGTTTTCTTAGCAGTGTGATGGAAAATAGATAGGAACATCAATGATGGTTTGTGATTATTCATGTTGATCTATACAGACACGTTCACAGGCATCAAATGTGTATCGCACCAAAGTTTTCACACCAAACATTTGTCTTTTGTTCTTTTTTTATAAACACTGTCATATTGCATCCATTAAATTCCAAATAAAGACACTTTAAAAATAATAATCGATTTTTAGAATAGATAAAGGACATAATTCCCTGAATATTCAAAAATTGGCTTTCACAAATTGAATTTCCAGCTAAAAAACAAAAACTAAATTGTATGTGATTATGGTTTTAATTTTGGTCAGCCTATACCATTGACTTCCTGCATCCTTTTACTTATGGCATATATATATATATATATATATATATATATATATATATATATATATATGTGAGTATAATATGTCTATCTTTCACAATATTGAACAGCAGAGGAGACACTTGCGCAGAAAGCGTAATTGGATTTCTGTGCGTGTAGCAGCAAGCCATTAGAGACTGAAATACACTCATCAGGGGGGCTCTTGCAGAAAGATGCGTGATCTTAAAGCCATTATTTTATGAGTGACACATTCGAGTTTTATAATCTCCAGGGATCGTAGACATGCCTGTCTGCTGGTATTTGCTTTTCATGGAGATAATGAGGGATACTATGATGTCAGACTAGACGCACTGCAAGCATGCGAGTATGTGGGTGGGAATTTAGAGCGTCTTTGAGAAGTTTGTAGTGCCTATATAACACACAAGAAGCTTCAAACACATCCGGAGTGTCTGCGTTTGCTTACTCGTCATTATATATCACTCCTCTTCTAAATTTCTTTCTCTTGTTATTCCCATGCCAACTCCTCTTTAGAGATGCAGGCTTGTGCTGTGGTAATCTGTAATTAAGTAGAGGCCTGTCTCGGCCCTGAGGGTAATTGCTCTGTCCTTACTATCTGAACTCAATTATACGGGCCCACACAAGGATGCTGAATTCCATTTGTCAGAACTGTTGCCAGCAGAGGGCAGTGACTTCTCACACACACACTGCACTAATAGCAGCCATTTCTCTTCATGCTTCTCTTACTTCAGTTAGATTAGCCGCTAACTCATTCTATTTCACATGTAGGAAAGAGATGATTTGATATTAAAGAGATAGTTCACTCTAAACTGAAAATGAAGCCATCTTTTACTCGCCCTGGTTTTGTTCTAATGCTGTATGCCATTCTTTCTTTTTCAGGCTACAAAAGGAGAAATAAAAACTAAAAAGCTTTAACCTTTTTTTAAAAAAGATTACAAAAATATCACAGAATGCGCCCACGTGACATGTATCGTATATTCAGTGTTCTGGGGGTATATGATTTGGTAAAAAACAAACCAAAATTTAATTGAACTAAAATCTTGAATTTGGCCGTTGGTCTTCACCAAGTTAATATCTCCGGACAAATGCGAGCGGCGATTTATTTTTTTTGTGGTCTGAAAAAGAAAGAATGGCATACTGCATTAGACCCACACCAGGTAGAGTAAATGATGATTTCATTTTAGGGTGAACCTACTCTTTATGAAAATGCAGCAAGTTCATTTTACAAAGATAGAAAGGTGCGGGAAGTGAACTTTTATCTCAAATTTTGTGGTATTAAAATGTTACCTAGTTTTAATGTACTAGTTAAGTTGCCTCATAGCCCCTTTACTTCTTCACAGGTCATTAATTTATGCATAGCCCCAGGATGAAGCTTGGTCTAATGAATATTAATTGAGTAACGCGAGCAGAAATTACCTGGCAACGATTAGTCTTAGCTAATTAATATTCATGAGCTCAGTCTTCTCTATAGTGATGTCTCTAAAATTCCAGCAGCAGTGGGTGGATGTGTCTGAAATGAGATTCACTTTGTCTGTCATTTTCTCTTCTAGCTTGTGATGAGTGGACTGTACTGCCCAATCCAGATCTTCATCATGACGTCAACCGCTTTGGCCACTCAGCTGTGTATCACAATGGGTAATCTCAATGTTTTTTTATGTCATCGGTAAACATCTAGTCTCACTTATAATAGCTTATTTTAGATGAACTATTCCTTTACAATAGTGTATGTTTAGGGTTATATGCACTACCATTCAGAAGCTTTTTTAATTTTTTTAAGAAATGTATATTTTATCAGGGATGCATTAATTTGATCATAAGTGACTATAGACATTTATAATGTTAAAAAAGATTTCTGTTTTCTAATAAAGGAAATTTCTCATCAAGAAAATTTCTCATTTTCTCTTCAAGAAAATGTTCCTGATGTTTCTATTCCTCAAAGAATCCTAAAAAAATTACGATTTCCACAAAAATATTAAGCAGCACAACTGTTTTGAACATTGATGATGATAATAATACTAAATGTTACTTGAGCACCAAAATCAGCATATTAGAATGATTTCTGAAGAAACATGTGACGCGCATATATATATATATATATATATATATATTAGTGCTGTCAAACGATTCAAATATTTAATCGTGATTAATCACATTAATGTCATAGTTAACTCACGATTAATCGCAATTAATCACACATTTTTATTTATTCTAAATGTCTCTTTTTTGTTTTTGTCCCTTTTTTTCTTTCATCTTAATGTTCTTATCAACATTTAAAAGTGGATCGGCTTACTTTGTGCAAATGTTTTTATTGAAAACAACAATGTCAATACTGTGTTCAATTTCACATTCTCACTTGGAGCAAATAATCTCTCACACAATGTAACACTGTCCATCAATAAAAGGGTGAAATAAATACTGAGAGGTCCTGATATTGACGAGGGGGCGGAGAATTCGCATCAGCTGTGTGTGTGTGTTTGTGTGTTTGGCCATCATCAAGTGGTGTTTCAGACTGGACGTGCTGCAATGATGATAGCTCAGTTCACACAGATCACTTTGGTCTTGTCAATGGGACCATTTGGCAACTTTTTCAAAGTAAACTTTCCTTTCAGAATCTTACTGGCATCCATTTCGCCGTCTTGCCCACTCATCCACTCAAAACGTAACATTAACCTACTATTTGGCTGGCTCGCAAGCCAAAACGAGTGTTTGCGCCGTGCCTGTTGTTTTGTTTTCGGTCTAGCTAGATCCGCTTGTGCTTTGGTCGATGAAGCAAAAGAACGTCTTCGCGCAGCGCAAGCCATAGAAATGAATGGGTTTCATAGCGCCGCGCATGCACGTCCTGTTGCAAAAGCATGTGAAAAAAACTACACATTTTTCTAGGCCAAAAAGACTGTTAATCGCGCGATTAAAAATAAAAAAGCTAAAATAAAAAATAAAAAAGCTAAAAAAGCTAATGGCAAAGCTGAATTACAGTGTCACATGTTCCTTCAGAAATCATTCTAATATGATATATGTGTGTGTGTGTGTGTGTGTGTGTGTGTGTGTGTGTGTGTGTGTATATATATATATATATATATAAAATCAAAATGTTAAATCTGACCAAAACTGTTATGACCTTGTGAACCCATACTGTATTATGGAAACCATGTTTCATGTGAAAATATCGGGAAGGGACATAGCCAGATTGCATTTGAGTATCACATAACCAAATTTCTAAAAAATCAAATCCACCTCAAAAGAATGATGTACAACCAGTAAGCTAATCATTTGTACTGAATAATTAAAGTGTTTAACAAAATATGAGCAGCATGTATTCTTTTCCTATTAAATCCTCTGTTAACATGCCATACAAACAGGCTGTTTGCTTTGTTACAAACCGAGTTGAAGTGATTTCCTCAGCTAATTGACAGCATGCCGCTGATGCTTAAATTGTTTTGAGTCCTGAATATTTCACTTTGATAGTGTTTCTATTTCTGTGGTACTTGAACTTGGTCACAGTAAATATTAAGTCTATATTTAAATCTGCCTGTAATCTCCTTCCATACGGATTAGTCAAATCAAGTCGTAATTCTGAATAATTATCCATAAATAACACATCTCGATATTAGTGCTTCAATTTGCCAGCTGAACAAACAGTCTTTAACTGCACACATTTACAGTCGCACACACTCTCACAGAAGTGACACTCTCCTCCTGTGAGATTTTGATGTAAGCTCACTGTGATCTTTATTCATACCCAGTGTCATTGTCCATGCCGATATGACCATTGAGTGACCCCTCTGTGAGGATCTGTGGCACAACACACACAGCTCTTCCTGTTTGACTTGTCCATCTCAAGCGGTTTATTCATAACTCCTCCCAACTCCCTTTGTTATTCCTCGTTCATGCTGCCCTCTTCCCCCTCACCCTTCATCTCTCTCCCCTCTCATCTCTCGACGTCCTCTCTCATTCTTTCAGATATGTGCGAGGTTAATCTGTGTCTCTCTTTGTGTGTCTGTCAGGGTGATGTACGTGTATGGAGGCTTTAACAGCCTGATGCTCAGTGATTTGCTGTGGTTCACCCCTGCAAGCTGTGCTGCTTTCTCTGAGCAGCTGGAGTGTGTGACGGCTCTACCTGGCGTGCAGTGTGTGTGGAACGCCTCTACCTCCACCTGTATGTCCTGGGACGCAGCGGCGCCCCATGACACAGAGAGCTTGAGAAACACCTGCAGTCCCAGAGGGTGTAAGTGACACTTCATGTGTCTCTATTAAAACTATTCAGACAAGAGTACAGTTCCAAACCGTGTTTGAGTTACAATCATTTTATGTGGCGATACAGATTAATTCTACATTTTGATCTATCTATATTTAATGCCAAAACATTTTATTTACACTACTGTTCAAAAGGTTAGGAGGATTTTATTAAAGTGATTTAATACTTGTATTCAGCAATGGTGCAGTAAATTGATAAAAAGTGACATTGATAATGTTACAAAAGATTTGTTTTTCAAAATAAATGCTGTCGTTTTAAACAAAAATATTAGGCAGCTCTAGTGTTTTCAACATTGATAATAATAATAAATGTTTTATGAGCATCAAATCAGCATATTAGAATGATTTGTGACATTGAAGACAGAAGTAATGATGCTGAAAATTCAGCTTTTCCATCACAGATTACATTATAAAATATATTCAAATAGAAAACTGTTATTTTTGACAAAGCAACTTTTCTCTATTTACGGATATGACGAGACATGAACGGGCGAGTGACGTATGCTATTTCCCCAAAAAAACATCCTGTCACGCTTTAAATATAAACATAACAGGCTTACCACAGTGAATCAGGTGTAACATTAAAACATGTTTTGGAAGAAGAATTGATGATTTTTTTCATATATATATATTGACTCACTATTTAAGTTTTGTTGATTTTGAACTAAAAAGTTACACAGTCTACCTTTAATGACCTGTCAGATGCAGTTACAACAGATTTGTCTTTAGGTTTGGCTCTGTGTATAACTTGTTTCAGATTACTAAATGCCCAGTTACCACCACAGGTATTGCATCCAGTAATTTATCTGTTTCAGATGTAGATGCTGAAAAGTGTGACCAATATTCAGACTGCTACAGCTGTACAGCCAACACCAACAGCTGCCAGTGGTGTGCGGCGCTCTGTGTGTCTGGTCATAGTAACTGCACCAGTTCCCAGGTAAGAATTAACATTTGGAGACAACTGTGTGAAAGACCTCTCAATTTTCAAAAAAAAAAAAAAAAAATCTTCTAAATTAAGTCTTTGCTCTGACATGTTTAATCTGTGTACCGGCTGCAGGGGGGGATAATGGAGTATGAGGCCTGTCCGAAGGATAACCCCTCCTCTGTGTGCAGCAAGAGGACCAGCTGTAAAAGTTGTGCCACAGACCAGAACTGCCAATGGGAGATGAGAAACCAAGAGTGCACTACCCTGCCTGGTAATGAACACGAGCAATGTAATTAACTGGTCCTTTCACATTCAAATCATATATGACAGTGCGAGTTCTGCTTGCTCACAAAAACGAATATAATCATTGATGCTGAACAATGAACATCTTATTTGCATTGCATCTGCTTGTTATTTATGATGAGAGTGCAGAACTCTGTGCTCTGAGTAAAACTCCAGGATTTTCAGCAGGTTTCCTCATCGCTGATGACTAATCTAAACACTTCTGATTGGCCAAATCATTCATGGATGCAAATGATATTTGTGATTGGTTATAATGCTCAGCATGAAAAAACAGCTTGTAAAAATATATCATTGATATGACCAGATCGAAATGTAATGCCACAGTCATAATTTTTTCACATTTCACTTTAATCACGACTGGGGCATTTTTTGTCGTCCCCTTGTCCTTAATTTTGTGGGCATTTAGGATAGTTTTGGTCATTTTTGCTCAAAGCTCTTGTTAATTTCCAACCCTGCTCATATGTTAATCTGGAGCCCTGATAATTATTCCATGATTGTGTTTTAGGGAATATCTGCGGTGAGAGTTGGCACCTGGTGGGGAATTCGTGTCTAAAGCTGATCACAGCCAATGACTCGTATGACAACGCTAAACTGGGGTGCCGTAGTCACCAGGCGGTGCTGGCATCTCTCACCACACAGAAGAAAGTCCAGTTTTTCCTCAAAGAGATGCACAACAGATCATTGCAAGTGAGTTTGCGGCACACTTTCATAGTCTTTGGTTTTCACTCGTAGTTTCTTTGTGGCATTGTCCCCTAAGGGTTGAAAGGCACAAGTCTGCTTTGGATGTATAGCCCTTCAGCCGTTAAATGGAATTGTAAATGATTTGTCCTATGTGCTGCAGTCAAAAGCACTCATCACCCCATGGGTGGGTCTGAGGAAGATCAATGTGTCCTACTGGTGCTGGGAGGACATGTCCCCGTTCACCAACTCCACGCTGCAGTGGTTGCCGGGCGAGCCCAGTGACGCTGGTTTTTGTGGGTACCTGGCTGAGCCCACTTTCAATGGATTGAAGGCGGCAACCTGTGTCAACTCTGTGAATGGGAGTCTGTGTGAACGTCCAAGTGAGAAAACTGCACATACACACACACCCACAGCATTGACCAGATTTTTTTTTTTTTGATGAACAGAAAAAAAAATGTGTCAATTTTCAGGAAATTGCAATTTCTGCTATTATATTATATTATATTATATTATATTATATTATATTATATTATATTATATTATATTATATTATATTATATTATGTATTTATATATTTAAAATATATATATATATTACAAATATATTCTATTACAAAAATATTGTAATTTTATATTATATTATATTATATTATGCTTATTGGCATCAGTTATTGAAAAACTTTTATTACCCATAATTTAAAAAATATGTATTTTTGTCTTGGTTTTTGACATGAAAATTTTTTTAAGCACTTTTTTTTCAGTCCCTTTTTGTTCTCTCTCTTGTACCTTTCTTGCTTTCTTTCTCTGTCCTTTCAGCGAACCACAGTGTGAAGCAGTGTCGGACGCCCTGTGCCCTGCGCTCTTCCTGTAGTGAGTGCACCAGTGGGAGCTCAGAGTGCATGTGGTGCAGTAACATGAGGCAGTGTGTGGACTCTAATGCTTATGTGGCATCCTTCCCCTACGGCCAGTGCATGGAGTGGTACACCATGAACAGCTGCCCACGTACGTCTGGCTCTCATTCAGTGGATTCATGCCTGTCAGCCTGTGTCTTTTCTCTTTGTTCATTGATGATTGAACATAAGCATGTCATGTGTTTATGGACAAAGCAGTCTTAAAATTAATTCAGATCAATAACTTGACACTTCTGTCAATGGTTCACTTTGAGATGATTGGACTGCATGACCCCCGTTGAAAAACGTATGTGTTTTTATTTTAGCGGAGAATTGTTCTGGCTACAAGACCTGTGGTTACTGTTTGGACCAGCCTGGCTGTGGGTGGTGCACTGATCCCAGCAATACAGGACGGGGCCAGTGTATAGAGGGCTCTTACCGCGGTCCGATCCAAACACTGTTCCATGCTCCTTCGTCTTCAGGCCCCTCCCTCATTCCTGCCTCTCAGCCAATGATGAATGTGAGCTTGTGCCCACTAGAGGGCAACTACAACTGGTCCTTCATCCAGTGCCCAGGTAAAACTTATGTAAAACTTAAAACTTTTTTGTTTCAAAAACATTTGTCATTATTTTACTTCCGTATACTTAGGCATTTTCACATTTGCATTTTCCAACATTGTTGTAGGAAGAATGTAACAGTATTTCACTAGATTTGTAACGAGAAACTAAAAATAATAAAAGCAAGGGGAATTAGGACAAAAATATTGTAATTTTCCAGCTATACAGCAATAAGTAAAATAATATACTTACTGAATATTTTATTTATTTTACAGTGCATTTGTTTTACAGTAAATGGCTGTCATAGGAATAATAATAATTTAATATTATTATTATTGGATTCTATTTGTTTATCTCAGTTTGACTTTGGATAATGCTTCATTTTTGTAGAATTATTCTTGGTTTCTTTGAATTGTTCTTTTTAATCATACTGTTCCTCTCTCGTGCAGCATGCCAGTGTAACGGACACAGCTCTTGTGTCAACGAGAGTGTGTGTGAGCGATGTGAGGACCTCACCACGGGCAAACAGTGCGAGAGCTGCATCTCCGGTTTCTATGGTGATCCAACAAACGGGGGCAGCTGTCAACGTAAGTCTAAGCACAAGCCCATGCCAAAATAGAGTTGACTGTTGTTGGCCATTTGATAGGAACTCAACTGTATGTGTTTTGTTGTTCATTTGCAGCATGCAAGTGCAACGGCCACGCCAGCATGTGTAACTCTAACAATGGCAAGTGCTTTTGTACCACCAAGGGCATCAAAGGAGATCGCTGCCAAGTGTAAGTGTGCTTACACACACTCACACACTCGTTCTGTCTCAGTCTCTGGAGGCTTTCTTTACTCTGCCATTAGAAGTCATTTGTCAAAAGTACTGCAGATAGCATATCGTTATCGTGTCTCTATCAAACTCTGTTCCTTCTAATTCTATTCATTTTCACTCTGAGCTCTTTTGTTTCGTTCTGTCTCAGGTGTGAGGTAGAGAACCGTTACCAGGGCAACCCTCTGAAGGGAACGTGTTACTGTGAGTATGTCAGTGCAGCGGCTGATGGCTATTCGAGTCATTTGCAGAACTACTCATTTTGTCCTTACATGACTGATCCAGACAGAAACTGCAAACATGTGCACGTTTCAGTCAATCTGTGAAAATGTCCAGATATTAATGTCTCAGAGTGATACTCTTCCAATATCATCTTTTTTCTTCTTTATCACACACACAACTATATTTGTATTTCTCCTGAACAGACACTCTGCTGATAGACTACCAGTTTACCTTCAGCTTGTCGCAGGAAGATGACCGGTACTACACTGCTATCAACTTTGTGGCCACTCCGGATGAGGTGCATTATGCTTAAAACACACAAAAAAAATTAAACAATTTAAAAGCCCCCCATAAATTGATAACAACATCTTACCTTGATTTGTGAACACATTTGATCTTGACATGATAGGGGGTGGGATTAAAGACTTTTTTTTTTCTTTTTTTCTTTTTTCACACTCCTTTTCGAATATATAATGGACATTAACAATATTTACAGCAAATGACGTTTTAAACTCTTGTCAATTAATTGTTTTGTGTGTTATTATCATTTTGATTTGTTTACTTGATTTTCATTTTTTTGTCTTCATCTTGTTTTCTGTTTTTCTTTTAAATTTTTAATATAAATTCAAAATGTAAAACTAATTTGATTCATGTTGAGTTGAATCTAATTTGGTGTTATTGTAATCAATAAGGTTTTTCATTCATTTATTCAGCACTTCACTGTTGAACAGAGGAAATGATACATCATATGGGTGGTTTTCCAAGGACATGTTCTTAAGTAAAAACTGGGTAGAAACAGAATGCAGCAAAAAATTATGTATTACTTCCATACATAAATGCAGACTTCTTTAAGAAGAAATTACAGACTCAACTTTTGAACAAAAAGTGTAGAAATGTTTTGCAGGAAATTCACCCTCAAAATGTTTTATACTGTATATTACCTAAGTTTGGAAACTTTATTTATTTATTTATTTATTTATTTGAAAGACGTCTCTTATGTTCACCAAGGCTGCCTTGTATTTATTCAAAAATACAGTAAAATAGTTATATTGTGTAAATATTATTACAATATAAATTAACTGTTTTCTATAAATGTAACTTATTCCTGTGATTCAAAGCTGAATTTTCAGCATCATCATTATTAAATTGATAAAAAAAAATAACAGGGAAAACATCTATAATGTTGCAAATAATTTATATGTCATGCTGTTCATTAAACTAAATATTCATCAAAGAATCCTGAAAAGTATCACTATTTCCACAAACATGTTAAACAGCACAAACATTTTCTACATTGATAATAATAATAAGAGAATTTTTTACTCAAGCACCAAATCAGCGTGTTCAAATAATTTCTGTAGGATCATGTGACACTGAAGACTGGAGTAATTAGGCTCTAAATTCAGCTTTGCCATCACATGAGGAAATTACATTTACTTTATTTATGTATTTTGTCTGACTGTGTTTTGGATTTCTCTTGCAGCAAAATCGAGACCTGGACATGTTCATTAATGCCTCAAAAAACTTCAACCTCAACATCACATGGGCAACCAGCTTTGCAGGTATGGACCCCCCAACCCCAAATGTGTTAAACATTGTGAGGACATCATAAATGATCTGTGTGAGCAGTTAAATCTCTCATCCTTCCTCTCACCCTGCGCTTTCTGAGCAGCTGGGACTCAAGCTGGTGAAGAAATCCCTATTGTGTCCCGCAGCAACATAAAGGAGTTCAAGGATAGCTTCTCAAACGAGAAGTTCGATTTCCGTAGCAATGCCAACATCACCTTCTTCGTTTACGTCAGCAACTTCACCTGGCCAGTCAAAATCCAGGTGAGAGGAGCTCACGCGTCATTGGTCCGGTAGCATACACGGAGAAAATGTCATGACTGTTTGTGTGAGTGTGTGAGCGCAACCTAAACATCAGCAAGGGTCTTCTTCGTGTTTTGTTTTGCTAGCTTATCTGCTCCTTCCGTCGGTAAATTCACCAGGGCCATATTTTTTTTTCTCATATATCTTTGGCCTTTTCTGTCTGGTCTGGAAATGATTTTGCAGAGCTTTCCTTTCCCTCCCACTTCTCCTCTCCTCCTCTTTTCCTTTCCCCCTCCTCTCTTCCTTTGCTTTGGAAAGTGATCTTGCTTACCCTCCTGTGCTCGGACGCTGAAACTCAGAGTTTGTGTTTGATTGTCCGTCCGGTGTTCTAGAGCACGTTCTCTCCTCAGCTCATGGAGAAAGGGTGAATTTCACAGGTAATGCTTATTGTCTCTCTCGCTCACCTTTCCCTTTTCGAACTGACCTTTGGATTCATGTTTTGTCTAACAGAATGTTTGTACGGATCCGAGGGCGAATATGGGTAGAGGGGTCGTGCCGTGGACAGAACGGCTTTTGTCAGGAGTTTAGAAGAGAACGACGAGAGTTCGGGCTGGAGAAAAACGCAGTGCTCAAAACCTGCTCTGTAAACATGGCAGTATGAGACTGAGAGTGTCAGAAGGAATGTTAAGTTGAAACACATGGTTATTTGAGAGAGAGGAATAAGAGAGATCAGAAAGGCACAATTCCATCCTTCTGTTTCTGCCTCTTGTTTTCTTTTTGCCTGTGGTCAAAGAGTCTGCGGCCTGTGATGTTTTTGGCCGGTGGAATGGAAGTGTGTATGCGTGTAAATCTAAACCGGAGTATAGTTGGAGCATTCATTTGCTGACTTTCCCTGTGTGAATGTTATTTAAAAGCTAAATGCACAAGTTACACGTCACCCCCAAATTAAAAGATTTTTTTTTTTATTTTATATAAAGAAACCTACTTATTTTATTTATTTATTTAAAGAATCACCTATGGTTTTGTGCTATGCTATTTCCTATGATATGCTATGCTATGCTATTTCATGGCAATGCAGCTTACTTACTGTAGACATTTTACTTTGCTCATAAATCTGAGTGGTTATTTCGATTAAATCCTGTACTGGAATGTAATATATAGTATAGTAAAATGTATTAAATAGTAAAATAATATATTACAGTAAAATGATGATAACTTTTTTTTAATCAGTGTAAATATAATGTAGTACAACAAATGCGACAACTGTGTTTAAATACAATTTAAATTATATCATTATTCACATTATTATTATTTTTTTCTTTATTGTCAATGTCATAATACAAGATTTTGGGTGAAATATGACTAAAGTGGCTTTTTTGACGGTTGTACAATTGTTTAATTTTGCAGACATTACCCTCCGCTTATTTACCAAGGTGAAATGAATGAATAATGAATGTATGGATTGATATATATATACACACACACACACACAAACAAAAAGTCACATTTACATCTGAAAGGGAGGTTTTCTAGTGCTAATCAGTGTAAATAATTACATAATAATAATACAAATAATACAAAAAAACACAAATTTTACAGAAATACGGTAGAGTTATTTTCTATTTTACAGTAGAGTAATTTTAAAGAGTAACGTCCTAGTGCAAAAATCTCACCTCACGCTCATAGTTTTGATTATAATGCATCCTATTATACATCCTAAACAACAGGTTTTGTGAGAATCAACCACTTAAGAAAATAAAATACACATTTGAATATTTACTGGAATCAACTTGAAGATCTTTTTAGCCCAGTTTAATGTTTAGTTCAAAGTCTACTGTATTTGTAGGTTGGCTTCACTGTGCCATGCTTTAAAAAACATGCAACCTGTCAACTTCTACCTCAGCCAATGGTGTGATTTTGGGGTGGGACTGCCTGTTTGTGCAAACAAAAGCAGATGGGGGCAGAATGTAGAGTTTTTCCTAGTGGTGCAGCTGTGGCACACTTCTCCATTAAACTCTGACTAGATGTTTGCACTTGTTGATTCTACAGGCTTGACGATTTCTGTTTTTTTTATCAGCTTGATTGTGACAGGTTCCCGTTAACATCCTCCTCCACAGACCACAAGAGACAGAGTATTTCAGTTACGCTAAATAGCTAAACTTGACGGGTGCATTAGAACATTCTCTCTTGGTTGGTTTGCGTAAGCCACATCTTTGTACCCTGAATCATGACTAACAACGAAGCTATATTTAGTGTTTACGTCACACACCACATGAATGCCCGTTCGTTTCACAGGTTGTCATGTGTGAATGACAGTGATAGTCAGATTGCCATTGTTTCATGTTGAATGTGTGTGGGCATCAGTGTGTGCTGGAGCTGTGAGTCAGGACCTGTTTGTCTTGGAGACTGTGTGTCTGGGCATGAGAAGGTTGTGGTGTGTGAGAGAGGCCGTATCAGTGCACAGCATCTGCTCAATGAGAGCTCTGTGTGAATTCACCTTCCATGCTGTGGACGTCTGGCATGCTCTCTTTTACCCTGTTCTCTCCCTCTCCCTCGCTCGAAAATGCTGTGCTTATTTTGGAAATGCCTGGAGGAAAAGAGAGGGAAGAGTAAAAAAGCAGGTGAAAGATGGAGAGAAAATGACAGTCCTTTAAAGCGGAAATGTCTCCGGTGTCCCATAGACTCTGCCCTCTTGATGGTAGACAGTTTGAGATTGTGCATTCCTAAAAAGAGGGGCTGAAAGTGATGGAACTGTTGCACTGCTAATTTCATGTGGGAAAGGGTCATTTGAAACACTGTGATAATAGTGGGCATAATATATACCATGATTGTTTCACATGCTAATTTGTAATTTAATTATTCCAGGCTAAGCCCTTGGTTAACATTCTCATTTGCATATTTACAAGGTTAATAACACTGATATGATAAGTACAGAACACAGTGAGCATGTGACCGGTTTTAATAACAGCTTGACGATCTGGGTAAACGAGGACATTTAAATCTCCTCCGGTTGTCTTGTATTTTCTTAAAAATACTAGGGGGGAAAAATGAACGAAACCATCGCTTTTAAAAAATGTCCCTCTCTCAGACACTAAACGCAATATAGAAAGTTGTAAAAGTGCTGTATGAATATTTTATAAAGCAAGCGCTGTAGAAGTTTATTATTGGTTGCTTGTTGTTAAAGGTTTTGAGGAAAAACAGTGTAAAAATTTTAAATACATAAAAATAAATTTAAATTAAAAAAAATAGGGCTGTCAAACGATTAATCGTGATTAATCGCATCCAAAATAAAAGTCCTCACATAATATATGTGGGTGCACTGAGTAGAATTATTTTGTATATATAAATACACACATATGCATGTATATTTAAGAAAAAAATATTATTTGTGTATAAAATATTAATATTTATATATAATATAAATTATATATACAATATATACATGAAAATATTTCATAAATATATACAAGCATGTGTGTCTATATATATATATATATATATATAATAATTATACACGTTGCACCCCCATATATTATGTAAACAAAACAGCCCTAAAAAACATTAAAATAAATTAATGGGAAATATTTATGTAAATAATAAACATTTTATGTATTTTAATATTTTTTGTTACAATAATACAAACTAAATTCCTTTCACATTTATAATACAACATTTTCCTCAGTATAAATTGGGTCTTTATACATGAAAATGTTTTACATTTTAGGATGGGGATCCCTCATACAAGGATGTTCACATTTGGGGGTCTGTGGCGTCTAAAAGATGAACAATAAATAAATAAAACTGCTTCTATACTTTTGGTACTGCAATTAGGCTTTAACATTAAAAAAGTATCAACACTGTTCTGGTGCAGGCACTAATAACCCAAAATTAAATTGAAAAGGCTCTCACCTTGTTATTGGAGGACCATCATAATAACGCCAGTTATGCCAAAATAACGTGATTACGTAATTACTGATGAATTAGAATGGAGAGTCTGAAACTGTAGAGATGCTCTTTCTATAGATCGTGTGTGTGTGTGTGGTGAGAGCGAGGGGGAGGGGGGCATGAATCAGCAGGGGGCAGTATTGGTGCAGACAGAAACGAAACGTTTGCTCCCACGTCCTGTTTAGAAAAACTAAAAGCACATGTACAGTCATGCATAAGCATGAAAATGATTTGATGATAAAATGTTTTTCTCACTACTTAACACCCGCTTCTCTTTTCTTTTCAGATCGCTTTCTCTCAACACAGTAACTTCATGGATTTGGTTCAGTTCTTTGTCACATTCTTCAGGTGAGACACTTTGCTTGTGTAATAAGCAACCACACAAATGACTGGTGAAGTCTTTGTAGTTCTGAAGTCACAGATATTCTGATATACTACAATCCAAATGCTGATGGAACTAGTTGGATTGCGGTGTGCTTGGGGTGTGATACAGCTCTAAGCTCTAATTCACCTCTTGAGGACCTGCTGTAATATGTTATTGATTTAGGAAGCAGGTGGCGTAGAGTAGACCATACAGCAAACTCCCCCTATGTTTCCGTCACGTACACACTTTCTCACACGCATTAAAATTTGTAGTTCATACTGGTTCACAAGAAGCAAAGGGGTCATCAAAATATAATAATCACTCGGATAAGGTCATGCATCATACCGAAGACACGTATGATACATACAGTGCACGTAACGTACTTACACCGAGCCTTGGCTGTGGTCGGCTGTGGTTCCTCATCATTAGTTATGTCAGCTCGGCCATGATAAATTACACCAACTCTTCATAGCCTTGGTCTGTGTGAGTGTGTGTGGGGGTGAGCTATTCCCAAGACCCAGAGCGAATGCATTTCAGCTCTGCACACACCTGCACTTTATAAGGTATAAACATGCACCTACGCAGTTATGATTCCCTCGCATACAGCCCTATACACGAGAGGCGCATTCATGAGCTCTGGCCCCGATGCCATGAGGATACCAACACTCCTGATCTTTAGCACACCTGTGGATGTGCAACCACCTCTAATCCATTAAACATGAACAGCCCCGTGTGTGTGTGTGTGTGCTTGAGATGTGGTCTTGGCGTGGCTCATTGGAACATGGCTGCCTCATTGTTTTCCATAATGGAACATCCAAAAACCTTAACAGTTGTCTTCTTCCTCTCCATGTCTTGTGTGTAGCTGTTTCCTGTCCTTGCTTCTGGTGGCAGCAGTTGTGTGGAAGATAAAGCAGAGCTGTTGGGCTTCGCGGCGCAGAGAGGTCAGTGCTGTAGCCTCTCCCTTGTTAGTGGATTCTCATTGACTTTCTCTGACACATGATTGTCTAGCCAGCTTTGAACCATCCTATCACTGTCACATCAGCATCTCTAGATAGATCCGTCCTCGAGGCTGTTGTTAAACATTTCTACTCTTAGTTGGTTACTATGGGTTCATATATGAAGAGTTCAGATGCAAAAGCCTCTAAGTGCCATTTGAAATTTTCTTCTAGAATGATCATTTTTATCAAGCTTGTATATTTAAGTTCAATTTCACTTAAATGGCAATGATAATTACCTATTAATTGTTATTTAAGTGAAAATAATGAACTTAAATTTACAAGTTTGATAAAAATCATCATTAAAGAAGAAATTTTCAAATGGCATTTAGAGGCTTTTGCATCTGAACTCTTCATATGCTTCATATAGTGACAGTATATAACATACTTTCATAAATACAACTTGATGATGACCGCTGAGATTACTGAATCCATTTACTGTTCACAGTTTTCCTCAGAATTCTCAAAAACATTATAATCACAATGTTTTTCTTTTGAATATACAGTCAAACCAAAATTTATTCAGACACCTTCAACATTTCTCACATTATCACAGTTTATTTCGCTATAGTTTAGAAAATGGTAATAGAAAAGAGCTCAAAATCAGTTGATATTTCACTGGTTTGCCATCCTTTTGTTAGACTGTCTCACAAACGAATTCGGTTGAATAGCTGTCAGCTGTAACATTTAAGTACACAATTAGATAATACCAATTTAGGTCAACCAATTACCAAGCAATGCTTAATTTTGTATTAGCAATGAAAGAAAAACAACTTCTATTATAAGGCTGCTGTCACTTTATGACCGAATGCATGGATCCAATACACTGTTACACATCCAACTTATTTCCCAATTGTTGGCCAGCGCCGAGGGGGGCAATCGTACTCTAGTCATTTTGAGTCAAGTATAAACTTTATAAGATTATAAACTAATTTAACATTTTTATAGCAGCTCTCATTCCAGATTTTAAACTTGATATATCGTTAATGTTTCTTTAACTAATTGGTGACAATCAACAAATGAATTAATTTAGTACATTGTGGTCAGTTTTATTAAAAAGAAGAGAAAATGCTGGAATATGACCCTTGATTTTACGGCCCCAGCAGAGAATGAAGAGGTTTGGTTTTGAAAGGTTTCAAGAGGCCATTTTAAGCCACGCAGGGGTGTTTATAAGAGCTAATGTGAGTGTCTTTTTAAAGGATCCTCTTCACCATCTGGCTTTGTGAAGTGCTCTCATCCAATAAAAAGTGCTTATACTTTTTCCTCTCTTTCACGCAATAATCAGGCACGCATTTAAATGTGTACCTGCATATCACTTCCTATATCAGCTTTGCACGTTAAAGTTTTGCACTCTTCTGACCCTTTAGCTTCAAGCATGACTTTTACTAATGATCTCCTTGGCAACCAGACATAGAGGGCTAATTTAGGGCTAGCATAACCCAGCAGACAGACTAAAGTGTTCTTGAGTCAAAGACGAAGAGGAGTTTTCAAGCAAAAAAAAAAAAAAAAGAAGTGTAATACAGCTTTAAAACTTTTTTTTTTTTTCAAGAAAAGTGAAAGTCGTTTAAAATAGTCAACATTAGTATGATCACATATTCTATTATTATTTAAATAAATACAGGTCAGAATAAAAATATTTTTAAATAAATATATCTGTTACACTGAAGGACCATGATTTGTAACTCTTAATGACATTTTGTTAAAAAGACAGTGAATATTGTGATTGTTCCCATTATTGCAATGCTTTTAGTATTGCTAGTTTGTATCATTAGATTAATTTTAATAATATTCCTGACTAAATGAAGGCAGAAGCAGATGTTAAAAAATAAAAAGCATTTTATTCTACTGTTCTGACGCTTCCTGCCATGCTTGCTAAGCTTGTCATTTTGTTTCTAAATTGCCCGACCCCAATAATGACTGCTTGTAGCTATATTTATGAATACTTTCTGTTTGCCAACATAAATGGCTTTGTCGGGATGGTTATTTTGGGTGGAGAATCCCTTTAATGGCCTCTCTTGAACTTGTGACTGCCAGAATAACAGCTTACCAATATTTCTGAACGTAATTGCAATCCTCAATACATTTCTCGTTTTCCTGCTAAGAAAGCCGCCCAAGATACTGGATCTGCATTTTCTTTTTTGGCTTTTTACAGCACCTAGCAACTCTCTCTGTTCGTGGGCATTTAAAATAAATCAATAACAAATCAAGCCATACAAAGATTCATTCAAATATTAATATTAAGTTCAACACATATTTGTCAGTGCTAAACATTTCTCATTCATCTGCAATATAAATAAGATGCTAAAATTATTATTTCTACATGTGATGAGACTGTCATTCAGTGTAATGGGTGAGACTGTGCTGTAACAGATTTTCATTACCCTGAATGACACAACTTCTACTTCAGCTTATATTGCAGGCTACCTGCTGGCCACAAATTTTAAATAGTGAGCTTTAGGCCTGTCAACTTTAGTCGTTTCGTCGACTAATCAGTCGATGCCGTCTTGGTCGACTGACATTGTTATTGGTCGACCAGTCGCATTTTTTTTTTTTTACCAATAGAAATACATTTTCAATGATTTACTCCTTGATATTTATTCTTTTATAAAGCAGTTAATTATTACTGTGTTCTAAATATAATTAGCCTATGTTTTATCCCCAACTTTAAATGATTTAATTTAGACTATTTTTTGTAACTGCGCCACAGTTTAGCGCACACACATAATACACTCGGGAACCGCACCTGTGTCTGGCTGCGCTGCTGCTCGCGCTCAGTAAGGGATATAACGGTAGGTAGTTTTGCTGTATTCATTCAGTTCACGCTACTTGTTTAGTCGACAAAATGTCCAAGAAATCCAAATATTTTGTCTGGCTACATTTTTTGTGAAGGTAGGCGACCGCGATCGCGTTGCTCCAATATGAGCGCGCACATCGCGTGCCTACATTTGAAATCGAACTTGAGCGCGCAAAAGACGTGAGCAGCCCTTTTAACGCTTTTATCATGCTGACTCAGATTGTGTTTTCTAAATATGTTTTTATTTGTACACTTGACGCATTTGAAAATAGCCTAAATAATGTAACAAAACGAAAATAAACCTATATGCCTTCTTACAACACAGCCTATTTCAGATTGATTTTAAGGCTATTTTGTTTTTTTGTGTGTTGTTTTAAAACGCCTAGATGGCTTGATCGGCTGGACAAAAGTTAACCCATAGTTTTGTAAGTAAAGAAGAATACAGCCTGTATAAACGAGAGCTTTTGTTAAGATTTTTCATTATGTGGCAAATAGCAGTTATATTTTTTGTAGCGTTTGGTATAATCAGGTGCGCGATTGTGACTGTCACCATAGACCTAGGACAGAGCTCCTCACTTTTTGCAGTAATAAAAATCACTTAATTTTCAAAGAATTTCATTATTATTACAGTTTTATTTAGTTTTGATGCTTTTTTCGTTGTTGTTTTATAAATGCTCTGTGACAATTGTCTAAATGTTCAATCAAAACATCCGTTTTTTTTGTTTTGTTTTTTTTAGTCGACTAATCGTTGCGCAGGACAAGACCTTGGTCGACTAAGGAATTCTTTGGTTGACTACAGCCCTAGTGAGCTTGACCAGTAAAGGAAATCACAATTATATAATTACATTTACAATAATATTTACTAACAAATTATTATTTTTATTATTTGACATTAATACTGAATGGCATGTTGTTGTTTTTTTAACTTAGGGTAATACACCATGAAAAGGTGAAATGATCAAATATTTAGGATCAGTAACCTCACTTTGCTGCAGCACCGCACTGTTTTCAGGGTGCTTTTTGATGATGTCGGACTGTTGAATGACTTTTGATATGATTTAAGTGTGGCTTCTTGTTCCTGTTACACTGAATGACCTCTAACACATACAGGACAAAAGTCCCCTGGTTATTTCATTACTTCACAGTAAGATATAATTCTTGTAATATAACACAGCCAACACTTATTTGAAAATGGCAAGAAAACAAATATATTTTTAACTTGGCATTTTATTATTATTTAGAGATGTAGTGGTAAAATCACAGTCTGCACAATTACACTGATTGACAGTTTTACAAATTGGAAAAATATTTCACCTATAATTTGAGTGTTTTATTTTCACAAAGGCTGTTTGAAGGATACAAGTACACACTTTATCTGCCTTTAATGATTTAATATGCATGTATGTATATATATATATATAAAATCACTTTTTTTAAAAAGATAAATTTGATGCGGGCACCAAATGGGTGATGTCTCCACTTTGATTCACGCTTGCACCTGATGGTATGGGAGTTTTTCTGATTTCCAGGTCTAAATAATTATACACAATGGTTAAATTCAGACTTTATAGTTGCCTAAAACATAAAAGAAGCTAAACTATAAAATAGGCCACTTTCATAGTTTTAACACTACAGTAATTATGAGATTATATAGCAGTGTAAATACATTTACTTAAAAAAATTATATGATGTGTGAAAAATATATGTGTGTGCCCTCTGTTTGAACACCAACGTCGCGTTTGAAGGTTTGAAAAACCATCGGGAGTGTTGCTCAGATGTCGAAACTATAATTGCAAATCAGAAGTGACCTTTTCTCAAAGCGCTGTGTGTGTGTGTGTGTACTTCTCTCTGTGTGCAAGTAATTACACCGAATTCCTCCAGAGGTGCTCTGAAAGAGTTTCCAGGTAAATCTTTCAGTGATAAATATCACAAGCCTTGCAGGCAGAGAATGTATTGTGAACCAAAAATCAAAGATGTGGGTTATCAGTTTTTCAGGGACTATCCTTTGTAATTGTTAGATATGCAAATGAGGGCCACTCAGCCGAGATGAGCTGATGCTAACAGACTACTGATTATTTTCTTTAGTCTTGTGACTGTGCGTCATTCAAAGAATATTACACAAATGTTCCTTTGAAATTTTTATATAGTCCTA